AAATGAAGTAACCTGCTTGTCCTTTTATGGGAATGAGGAACGTCTCCACTAATACAGGCAGTGCCAACAACAGCCTGCAGGTGTTGAGCAGCTGGCCTGGGCAAGACCAAAGTTCTGCCCACGTCAAGTACAAGTCTAAAGCAGGTTCTTAGGAAGACCTAAGATTGGGATAAATTGGAAAGACCAGTCCCTTGATGGAGCATCCCAACTTTTAGCACCTGATTGAGACGTGAGACAGCCTCATGCTAGGTAACAGATTCGGGAATGAAAGCCTTGTAAGATCCTATCGTTAGGGAGGAGCTACAAGGTGAATAGTGCTCCAGTGTCTGCTTAATTTTAAGTGCATGTCAGTCATTCAGTGATGATATCTAGACTGAATTTAAGATCTGAATCTTTTCCTGTGTAAATATAAGGTGGATATCATAAATGTAAGAACAGTGTTTAGGAATATCAAGTCTAGTGCTTTTGGTCGGACGTTTTTGAATGTTTTAAAAATAACATGAAATTTTATGTTTTTAGGAAGTGTGTACTTACAGATGTGTAGGTGACATTGCTTTGACTGAAGTTACGGAGCAGATAAAGACCTGTAAAAGCAAATGTGTGCCTGTGGGAGCCTGTTTGTACCCTTGTGTAGCTCTGAGGAGCCACTCTCTTTTATGATGTTAGCAGGATGGGGCCCTGGGGCTGTTGGTGCCCTTCTGCACTAATACTGCTGGATTAATGTCTCTGCATCACTCGTATATTTTGATCATTGCTTAAATATAGCAGGGGCGAGCGGCGGGAGGGAGGCGGGCGGCGCCGCGGCCTGCGCTGCAGGGCGGCCTGGGCACGAGGGCCGCCCCATGGGGAACCATGGAGCGTCGCCACCTTGGGGGTCCATGAGGAATGGGGAGGAACGGGGGGGCTGGCAGGACGTGGCACGGCAGCTGTGTGACTGTGTGTGACCGGCCACATGGGTCACGCGCAGAGCAGCAGCGCTCATCCAGCGCTGGGCGCTGAGTGGGCCCAAGGGTGAGCGCGCTCTGTACGGGCTGTTTTCGAGGTACCCCGGGCTGCGATGGAGCCCGGTGGCCGCGGCAGAGCAGGCGGCGGGTTGTGCCCGCGGCCAGGCTGGTTGCCGCGTGTTGCAGCGGTCGCGCCATGGCGCCCTGCCCTCGCGGCGCCCGCGCGCGGCTCGCTGGGCACGGCGCTGCCGGCGCGGCCGAGGGCGCTGCGGGGCTGCGACACGACCCTGCGCGCGAGGAGAAGACCTCAGCGGGTCTAGTCCTGGTTGTGATTCAGATGAGGTCCGTAATTCAGCTTCCTCTGCTCCGTGCTTCGCCCTCGCAACAGCTATCATCTTGTCTGCCTTTGCTGTTCTTAGTGCACTGCCGTAACCTCTTGTCAGAGGAGAAGAAGGAGCTGTTGAAAGATCAGAGGTGGTATCTGGAAGGACGTAATTTTTCAAGATGGTGTCAGTCGGGGCATAAATTTGAAATAGTTTTTAATACAATAATCTTTAGCAATAAAACTTGTACTCTGAGGTAGCTGGTTGAATGGCAGCCACGTTGGCTGCTTCGTTGCTCTGGTCCTTGTGCAAAGCTTGGCGAAAGGGGGGCGTTTTTCCCTTGGTGCAAATTCAGCGTGTTTAAGCAGCACCGTAAATGGACGGGATTCCCTTTGAGCCAGTGCCTGGCTGGAAAAGCCGTGATTACAACGCAAAGTTGCTATACAAGGCATGAGATGATGTTAGCTCACCCGTTGTTTAAACACGTCTGTTCCTGGCACGGAGCCTCCCGGCGGTTGTTTCACATCAGCCACCCCACAGAGCGGCACAGGAAAATGTCCTTGTCCTTCGTGGCTGGTAGAGGCTCAACTTTGTGCTTCACGGGGCCCGCAGCACAGGGCAAGGACAGGGCTGCACCTGTGTTGTGTATATAGAGAGTCTGGGCTCCGGTAGTTTCTAAATTGGCGCGCTCCTAGCCTCCTGGCTATTTATTTCTTAGAATAAAATGCAGCAATATTCCACGTAGCTCTTTGTAGCTCTAGGGAAATTGCCCATGTGGATTGATTAAAGAAGATGGATACCGTTGTCCTGATGAAGTTTTCCATAACAGTGAGTAATGGAAAACTTATGCTAATTAAAAGTACTTGGACAGTTATTTGTAATACACAGCCATTTAGGCTGGCTGGTTCTTATGCCAGTATATTAAAAAAAAAATCCACAGCTTTCTTTGATCAAAAAGTGAAAATAAAATTTGCTGATGTTGTTCATTGCCATCTCCCCAGCCTGCTAATACGGAATTATACTTAATACTAAAGAAACAAAGGAGAAGTTCAAAAGAAGAGGAGCAGAAGGACTTGAACGATGAGAAGGAGAACAGCTCTGCTTAAGTGTCCCCTGAAAAGGCTCCGGGTGCTGGCGTGCAGGGATGCCCAGCTCCCCTTTTCCCCCTGTGGAGATTGGCCCTCTGGAACTGAAGTGTTCCCTCTCCATGCTCAGACTTGGGCAGTACAGACTCAGTTGGGCAGCTTGTGTCTCGAGTCCCCAGCCTCAGGGTCCCTAACGTGGCACCTTACCCAGGGCCTGGGGATTTCAGACGCTGTCAACATGCAGAGATCATATTTTGGTGTTTTTTGGTATATGTACATACCCCATATTTTGGTATATGTACCAATTGGAAGGAACCAGTACTGTCCACCACAAAACTGCAGCGTCAGAAAGCCAACATCGTGTCTGACACTGCATCTGTCCTCCTTGGTTGATCAATTGTTTTTTATCTCTATTCATGTATTCCTGTTTCTAAAATCTTTTCTCTTTCCTGTTGCTATGGTAAGAGCCTGCCTAAAAAGGAAGAATTATAGCAGCAAGATCCACTGACCTACAAAATATTCAGAATGTAGTTCTCTGCACAGCTCTGCTTTTAAAATCACTGGTGGAATATCCGTGATGGGAATGGGAGAGGACCAAAGCAGAAGGAGATTGCACCTGGATTTTGATTTTATCAGAATTCCTGTTTTAGTGCCCAAAGGCTGCTTCTAATGAGTGAATCTGCACCATGGGTTTCCTACATGCAGAGCTTTTCTGTGATTACAAGTGCTGCAAGGAGTGAGCATCCAAGAACCCGTTCTTGGGTTTGTGTTTCTGCTGATACCCTTCCAGCTCCAGTGTGATTTTCTCCTGTGTGTACACGAATGTCACGGATGCAGCGCCGTGTTCCAGTGGCTCGTCCTTGCTGGAGGCAGGGCTCTTTTCCAATGAGCTGATTTGAAAAGAAATGAAAACCAAACTGTGAATTTTTTGGTTCACCTCCCAGACTATAAAAAAAAGGATGGTCTCATTAATGATTAACACAGCAGCTGGTACCTCAGAGGAGATTTGGAAGAAAACACTGCAGTGTCTCCTTCTTCCTGTAAAATATATTGGCTTAACAGTTTTCAGTGCTCACCTGAGCTTATTTGTTTAGATGTTTGAATCCCAGCAGATTAGGCCTCAGCCTTCAAACCCCCTTCAAGGTGAATAAGGGTGCCTTATTTTCTAGCTGTAGTCTAATGTTTTTGCAATGCTGCTACTACTCATTGGTTTGCAGCTCCCCATAATGTTTGTTAGTGGTGGTTTTTAGAACATTTTATTGTTTCAGTCCCGAGAGGCAGCTGAGATTTCCGAAGTTGGTTTATCATCAGCATAGTCACATCATTAAATATCAAGTAAAAGTCTACAATATTTTTGCCTTTACATTGGCATCGCCTGTGCTTTATTGTCTTACTCTCCAGAAGTGCTTATTATGGTGTTACACTGTTTTAAAAATATTTATATATATTATGGTTGTAAACTGCTTACGCTTACCATAGCACAGTGCTTGTATTGCAGTGCCCATGGGCAGCTAATAATGCTCTAATGAACCAGTCTCTTAAAGAACTAGAGGGACCGTTTTTGTCCGAGGGCTCCCAGAAGGTGAGGTTCACTTAGCACTGAAGAATCAAAAGTGCTTAAAAACAAATCCCCACCACGTAGCAGTTGCACATATGGCCCACCGTATGCAAGCCAGTGGTGAGAAATCTGGAGGCTTTTCCGTGTTGCTCTGTGCCATCACTGTGGGTGTATATTCCCTTCTAAATTGGCTCCGTTTCATCTTAATAGACATAGCAAGCTCTCTGGAATCTTGTGCAAATATTTTGCTGTCTCTGTGTACATGTGGGCCTTTTCCTCCGAATTCGCTGTGGAAGACTGGTGAGGAGATGTGCAGTATACTGGTTTGCCCTGTGGTAGAGCTGGGGCAGAAGTGGAATTTACTCCGTGCGCAGCAGCGGTGGGGGTGATGCCCCCAGAGGCCACTGCCAAGTCGAGTGATGCTCTGTGTGCCGGTAGCGGCGAGCGCGGCGCCCGCGGCAGCGCGGAGCCCCGGGAGCGCTCCCTGGGCCTGCTGCTCCTCAGGGGAGAAGGAGCTGCCGCCCCAACAGCTCAAGTGCACGGAGGCTCCTCTGAGCCAGGTGCTGTCCCAATGCCATAGGCGAGGAGGAGGATGGGGGAGTTAAGGGGAGGCAGGACCTCTGCTGATGGGAGCCCCACAGAGTCTTGTGCTCTCCCTGTGGTGCTTTGAGAGAGGGAGAGTGGGGCGACGATTCCCTGGCCTGGCACGGGAGCAGGTCATGGCCCTAGAGCCCTGGCACAGGCTGCCCAGGGAGGCTGTGGAGTCTCCTTCTCTGGAGATCTTCCAAACCTGCCTGGATGCCGCCCTGTGCCCCGTGCTCTGGGTGTCCCGGCTGGAGCAGGGGGTTGGACTAGATGATCTCCAGAGGTCCCTTCCAGCCCCAACCATTCTGGGATTCTGGGATTCTGGGATTCTGGGATTCTGTGTACAGCAGCCCCATGAGCTGCTGCCCTTGCTGCTTCCCGCCGCTGGCCCCGAGACTGGATCCAGTTGCAGAGGCTGAAGTGCTCCAAAGCTTTTTTAGTTTGGACTGATGACACTCAGGCCATGTTTCCTTTCACTGACTTGAGTCGTGTGTGCTTCTTTTAGAGATCCGAGCTCAACTCATCGAGCAGCAAAAATGCCTGGAGCAGCAGACTGAAATGAGAGTGCAACTCCTTCAGGATCTGCAGGATTTCTTCCGCAAGAAGTCGGAAATAGAGATGGAGTATTCCCGGAACCTGGAAAAACTGGCAGAGAGATTCATGGCCAAAACAAGAAGTACCAAGGACCACCAACAGTACAAGTAAGGGGCATTGCCCTCCCGTAAACACCCACGATAGGCACTGCTCGCTACCCATCTGCTACCAGCACGACGCTGCTTCTGCTTCTCAGTGCTGTTAGCAGGGCCCAGCTTCACAGGCATGTTTCAATTTCCCACCCCTCGTTAACAGTGTAGCAGTTTTCCTTACCCTTGAAGGTAGCTGGGTGCCTAAATCCTCGTTTACTGATTTAGCCCTCTGCAATGGTGCATGGAAACTTATGGCAGATGGCTTCAGTTTCACAAAACGCAGGCTAAACAAGTGTTATCCCTTGCCTATCATGCAGAATATAAACCACCCTGAAGCACAGACAGCCTGCAGGAGACGTGCAGGGGCCCAGGTGGGCTGCGAGGCTGTATAGGGTTGGCTGCAGTGGGGCTGACAGAATTTGATTGGGTCTGAATGAAGGCCACCCGCCCTTGCAAAAAAGGCCAGGATTATTGACCAAAAAGAGGTATTGAAATGGAAAAATAATTCTGATTAGTTGCTGCATGTGAATGTGTGCTGCTGCTGGATCCCTCTGTTTCTGGAAGAAGAGATGTAGGCACTGTGCTTGCTAAGAGTTGGACCCATCCCTCTCATGGTGTAGGAACTTCTGTGCAGTCAGGGAGTATCTGTCCAAAAGGGTAATCAGCACATTTCTAAGAATGCTTCCAATGCATTACATGCTGCCATAGTGCTGTCTGCTTTTTCTGACTTGAACTGATTAATTAACCTATTTGCCTGGCACTGTCATGTTTAGGGGTATAAAACAATACCATCTGTGTGTAAAACTGAAAAATAAGTGCCCTTTCCACTGACCATTTAGTGTTGTGCTGTAAATATACAGAGAGATCTTCTGTTTCAGGACAACGTTTGACAAGGAAAAGGCTGATATGAACATAGCCGATAAAGTTCCTGAAAAAGGACAATATATTTCTTAAATTTTAGTTAAATGGCTCAGTGATTCTCTCAAATTTGCAACATGTGGCTGTGTCTCCACCTCAGAGAGACCCCAGGCTTTTATTGAGGTTCTTTAAAAGTCTTTCTACATGATTTTGATTTGGTTTTAGATGAGTGTTGAGAAAAAGGCCTCGCTTTGAGCTTTGCTCTGCAGTTGCCTGGTGGTTTTGAGAAGAGGTTTTAGCAGCAGTGAAGACAGTGGTCCCCACACTGGACCTGCCATCCCCCCGACAGCAGGCAGAGTTTCACCCAGCCTCGACAGCACTGGCTGGTGAATAATTCCAAGGGGCTGGTCTGGGAACAGCCAGGGGTGCTCCCAGAGGCTCCCCAGAGTGTAGGACCTGCAGGGCCCTGAGGTGAGCGATGCCTCAGACCCTGTGGGGAGTCTTCAGACCCTATAGTTCCTTAGCTCCCCTGCTTCTCCATTCACAGAGAAGCAACTGAATGAGCAAGGAAAAGCTTTTGGCTGTTAATCACTCCTTGTTGCCGTGACAGAGGGTGGAAACTAACGCTAGACAATCCAATGAGGCATTAAAGGGCGAATTTGAAACAGTGAGAATAGTTAATTATTAAAGCAGTTTACACTAAGGGTGGAGGGAGCTTCCTCGGTGTGTTGTCACCTCTGGCTATTCTGTTCCCTTGTGCATGATCCTTAGGGCTACATGAGAATACCTGCTCGAGAAACAAGAAAGAGCTGTACATTCTAGACCACATAGTTCCAAGGAAAACTTGAACTTCAAATTCCATTAAAATTATAAGGAAAAAATTTAAAATAGAAACAGTTGTCGGGATGTATGTATTTTTATTTTGTTGGGTGTAAAAGACATAAATAAGTTATAAGAAGTTATAAGAAGACCAAAGATGTCTGTGAATATGGCTTGGCACTTGGAATGGGCCACAACCCACAAAGTCTACAAAGAAAATACGGGACTGGGCCACTGTGGAAAAACTCCTGTCCTTTTTGTCCCGTAATTGAAACGTCGGTGCCTGGCAGCACCTAGCATAGAATTTATGAATACTGATCACAAAATATATATGCTTGTGATATTTCCTTGTAATTTTATAGCAGTTATAAAAAAAAATACAGCGAAAAAGCTTTTTGGATGGACAAGCACACTTACAATTTTCTTCATGAAGAATTTGAAATGTGTCTCTGGCCCTAATTTCAAAAAAAAGAATTAGTGTTACTCTCTCAGCAGCAGCCTTTTTAGATTTGGAATATTTATATGTAGTCCATCTGTGAGCTTTGTGGCAGGGCTTTCTCTGATGCTGTCAGTCTAGTTGTCGTGTTCTGTGTTCTTCTCCTTTTTCTCTTCCTTTATATCTGTGCCCCTTGGGATTTGTAAAATGGGTCTTAAAGCATGAGTAGATGGGCTATAGAGAAACAGAAGTCCAAATCTAGCATGCTCTGTTAACAAGAGCAAGAGTATTGATTACGCTGTGGCTGCTGCCATGAGCAAAGGCAGGAAGACTTGACTTCTAGTGTGTGTATATGTGTGTATGTGTGTGTATGTGCTGGCAGGCTGATCATTGGGCTTTTGCTGTTAGCTCTGACAGATTTGTCTAAGCCTTTTTATTTGTTTTTCAGTATATAAAACTGAGCAGTGCAGTAATTACAGTGTAAACTTTGGGCTCCTACCAAGCTCATTACATAATGAGCTATGGCTGTAAATGTCAGAGGCTGTTTGTGTTAATTATGTAACTTCTCCATTTCTGCGTGTAACGTATATTTGTGTCTGCTCCTCAGGAAAGACCAGAATCTCTTATCGCCGGTGAATTGCTGGTACCTGCTCCTGAACCAAGTGAGAAGGGAAAGCAAAGACCACGCGACGCTGAGCGACATCTACCTGAACAACGTGATCATGCGCTTCATGCAGATCAGCGAGGACTCCACCAGGATGTTCAAGAAGGTAATGGCTGCACTGGGGCCTGTCATGGGCATGAGGGAGACCCAGCTGTCTGAGCTGGTTGCCTTTGAAAGTTAGATTCGGAACACGTAGCATAAAAGCTGTTTTAGTAACACTTATAAATCCTTCATGCCCACGCTTCTCGTGGAGCAAAGCCCTAGTGTTGCAGTGCCTGGGAACCTGCTGAATGTGCTGGTGACCTGAAGAGCTGGATGGCAAATTTCCAAGAGGCCAGGAAGAAGTCCTGTTATCTCAAAAGGATGTTTGTCTACCCATGCAGAAAAGAAAAAGTTTTAACCCAGGACTCCCCAAAATAGTAGTGTTGTGTTAATAATTTATTAGCACAGTAGAAACAGTATTTGGTTATAACGCTGTCATGAGGCAACTCTGGTTCAAGCCGAAGTGAAGATATTCCTTCTTGATGAGTTGGTATGAACATGGTAGCCATATGCTGTGGTTTTCCTAAAGCTGTCTTCCTTCTTTCACCATACTGCCAATGAATGTGTGTTTTTGGTAACATAGCTGCTGCTATTAGGTCTTTTAATCATTGTCTCTGCTCATGGTTGCCCTTGTACATGTCTTTTATGTGTTGCATAGCACGGGTGTGTATAAGTGCCACATTGATGAAGCAGGAGCTCTAAGGGAGCCTTAGTTCAGTATCTACCTAATGTGTTTACAGCTGTTGTTATTGCAGTGTTCTGAAGTAAAAATAGAATATGTGGGGACCATCACTCACAGTGAACTGCCCATGGTCAAACATCTATTATAGAAATAAGCCCCAAATATATAAAGGTTAAAGAATATAAAGTCTCTGACTAAAGGGTGCAGGGGTACCTGTTCAATGCTTTTCGAATGAGCTGATTTCACATCCACCTGACCACAGTCCTAGCCAAGTAGCAGTGGGGTAGGGACAAGAATCATAGGGAGCGCAGAGGAAGTCTTCTACTTGGAAGAAAAGAAGTGAAAACATTAATCAAATCTGTTGCTCTGCATGAAAACCTTTAATAGCAATAGAATTTAAATTCATAGTTCCTCAGTCAGTAATAATTTGTTCACATAATGTATATCAGATGCATAAAGCTGTAGTTCATAAACCACTAAACTTATTAATAAGGAGAATTATCACAGAAGTTGAAAAGATAATAGGAAAAACTGTTTGAAGAGGCCCCAGTGCAGTCTGTGTGCTTCGGTCTATATGCTACAGTCTATATGCTGAGTTCTTAGGCTTGACTAGGCCAGGGGAAAACTCACATTATTGAGTTTGACTAGTTTTTCAGCAGATGAGGTCATATCTCAGAAGTCTCCTCTTTGCTGCATATGCATTATTGGACTAGTCTGTCCCCTTGCAACATAGTTTAGATTGTTTATATTGGAAGTCTTGCTTTGCTTGTGCTGTCTCTGAACACACTGGATAAAAATATCTGGATAAACTTTTCCATGGACAAGTATGTCCCCTTCTTTAGCCACTCAGAATTAATTAATGGGGATTACTGCAGTTTCCATTTTAGAAGGGGAAAAAATGTGGGTGATTTTGTCAGCACATTAATAGGGACCACAGTTTCACAGCTCCCTGACAGAGTTGTTTCTCACCCCCATATGAAGTCCAGCAGCATCTCACATATTCTTAGTCTGCCACAGCTTCTTGAAGAAGAGCATTTTTTTTTTCCATTCCTAACTTGGATCTTCCACGGGGGAAAGAAGAAAAGGGAAATAGAGGGGGCACTGCTGTGCCTGAGCTGAGGCTGGCATTAGCGGAGCCCAGATCCCAGACTGCCAAATCCTGCTTTCCTTTAGGGTTTGTTGGCTTGTGGTTGGAGTGACACCGTCACATCAAGCAGCTGCTGGTTAGCGTGGAGCAAAGGCAGAGCTAAGCCTGTGGACAGGGATCTATCTCAGCAAGGCCAAATAATAAGAGGGGAAGGGCGGCTGGAAGGTGCTCAACACCTTAAAGTGGTGTGAAGGAGCTTTACAGCCACACAGCATGGATGTGGCAGAGCTCCTTTACCAATATTCATTATTAACACTTATTTTTAGGCCTTTAAGGTGACATAAGTTAATGTTCTCTGGAGAAGGTTGCTATTCCCATTGAGCTCCAGCAGACACAGTCTCTGCTATGGTGCTGGCTGCAGGGTCCTGCTGGGGTGGTCTGCCTGCTGCCAGCTCCCAGGTGCAGAACTGCTCGTGCCTGGATGATGATGAAGCTCCAGTTCCTGTCCTGGTTAAAAAGGGAGCAGGGACTGCAGTGAGATGAACTAGCTGGACAGGGAGAAAACTGAGACCCGTGCAGGCAGTGAGGCTCTTAGCAAGCTGCCTTGCTTTGTTAATGAAGAGCATAAGCCCCCTGCATCTTTGGTTGGTCCAAACGGGCAGCTTCAACCATAATTTCTGTCAGATGTGAAGGAGCAAGATGAGAAAGAGCATTACAGCCATCTCAGAACTGCTTAATGGGCATACACCGGGGAATGGGAAGCATTAGGGGCAGGAGTGCATGTGTTACATACTACACTTTGTCTGCAGAGAAGGCACACTTAAAATGAGAAGGATAACATCCACATTTTCCTCCAGCAAATTTGTATTCCCACTAAGGAAAATTGCATAAATTTGTTAGAGAACTGTCAATATCCAGGAGTTTCAGTCACTTTCTCTAGGTTTTTAGAAGATTGGATTTGGAATAACATTCTGTTAGAGAAAATGTAATCAATGTCAGTGGGTGTCATCACTGTGAAAATACGTTGGATTTATTCACTGTTCAGAGGCTGGAGATTAAAGAAAACAAATCATACTCGGTGATATTTCTATACCAGTGTATTGTTCTTTGCAGCCATTCTGGTTGTACTCTTCTGTGGAATATGCATGCTCTTTTTTAAGTGATAACTATCAATAATAGGAACAGCAGTTATATCTAGATTTCAAAAGCAAACACTGTCAAGTGCAACCTTAATGATGTAGTGCAGTCTGTGGTCAGGAATATGGCATCCATCCATCCATCCATCCATCCATCCATCCATCCATCCGCACTCCTTCTGGCACTCACAGCATTTCACTTTCCTAAGGTACTTTCCTAAGTAATTTCCAAAGCAAGCTTTTCTATATCCAATAATCAGATTATTAAATACATATCTATCATTTCTCTGACATTCTTTTTCTGGGGGTCAGGAACCACCAACGCTGCAGTTTAAACACACAAAATGCAGGACAAAGGTAGGATCCAGCTCAGGGATTTGTGGCCTTTGTGTGATCCCACCACGTCAGGCCCCGCACTTGCAGCCGGCACTGAGGCTTCTCCTCAGCTGTTGGCATCTAGCAGCAGCGCAGATTGCTGGTCGTGCCTGCCCTTCCTCCTGCACAGAACACTGCAAACATGAAGTAGCAGAGTTCAGACCTCGCATCCGTGCCTGGTTCTCCAGGCAGATGGGGGAGATGGCCTCGTGGGGACAATTAAAGAATAAAGCAATAAGGAAAAATGTCAAGCAGAAGGGAAAAGTAGTATGCAGAACGTTCCACACAGTGATTCTGGCTACCCCAGCATTAATAATCAACTCCATAAACACATACCCACAAAATCCTTAGGCAGATTTGTATATTTATAATTTATAAAAGCGTATTTTCTTTGGGCAGAAGCCATAGGAGGCGAGGTGAACACATCTTCAGTGTTTACGGTAAAAGACGCTGGAGAAGCCAAGCACAATAAATATTTTAGTTCCATAATCTGGCTATTAACAGTGAGTGTGACTGCCTGCCAAATCTGTTCTCAAATGATAAAGATTGGGGAGTATGTAGGGATTTCTTTCATCATTTTCTTAAGCCATTTAGGTTTTAAAAGATAGCAAACTATTTGTTTGTATAAGCTGGCAAATCTAGTACAAAATTTTACTGTAGGTTAGCTATGTCAGTGTTTAAAAAAAATAAATATAACTTCCCCTAGGGATGAACAGCAGACTTATTTAAAAGAATTAGTCACAAATTATTTTCCTTAAATAATAAAACTGATAATAGCTTTTGCTTAATACAGACACCAAAGTGTTCCAATAAGAACTTAACTGACTCTGTTTTTTCAGTTAAAAAAGACAAATCAGTAAGGTTTGGGTGCCCAATTATGGTCCAAGTAAAATAGATGGAAAAAATCCTACAGACTTTAGTGAAGGTTGTTGATGTGGAATAAAATTTGAAGTTTCTTGGATGTTCTCGGATGGTTCTCTAAATATAAACCTTGATAACATCAGTTGAACTGATGACACATTGAAATCAGAGCACACACCAGAAAGCTGTTGCTCGATGCACTTGTTATTACACAACTATCTGTTGCACAAGTGTGACCTACCATTAATTTAGAGAAATAAATACGTAACTTTTACGTTTAGTGGGGCAGTTTGTTCAGGCTGTCTCTTAACGCTTTGAACCAAATTAGAAATCAATATCATATTTTTAGCAAGGGTTTACATACACTCTGACCCATTTTTTCCTGTGGTCCTTGTTCTTTTGGTGAATAGGTTAATAATAATTTCTCTGGGAAGCAGTAAATAAAGAAGGGTCTCTGTGATTGTTTCCAAGGCTTTAATGGCCTGAACAGAGCTATTACCTTTGCTCCAGGGCGGTGGGTGCTGCATCTTTTTGCTGCTGTTGAGCCACCCTGAGGAGAGGCTTCCAGCAAGGCGGCAGCAGGGCATAAACAAGATATAGGAGAGAGCCATTAACCACTGCAAATAAGTGCCTTTCCTCCTGGGTGCTCAGGCTGCATATATATTACACCCTAAAAGCTATATTGCTTGCCACTTGAGCCAGTATTTCTTGATCTTAAATGCTAATGTAAAAGGCAGTGGTTCTTGAAAATTAATCTATTTTGTATTGTTCTCTAAGTTGAACCAAATCTCCTGATTTTCGTCGGAGAATTGCCACAAAATCTTTTATCAGAAGAAGACAGAGACTGACACATCATACCTCCCTGCAGGCTCCCTTGTAAGCCTCTCTCTGCAAGTTGGAGTCCCCCTGTGAGCTGCTGGAAAGATTATTCATCTGTGATCATATGGAATTGCTGGATTGTGTCTTTCTGCTTTTTACTCTTTTTGCTGGTCGCCTTCCTCCTTTTTATTTCTTATTTTGGAATCCATCCTCCTTTCATTAAAACATTTCCTTATTTCCCCTGTTGTTATCTGTTCCCTTCATCTTCAAATTTACCACTGATGCCTGTGGTGCCTCAAGCAGGGCGTGCGTGTGTGGTAGCCAGAACTGAATCCCTAGGGCCAGGCTGCCGCAGTGCTGGACAAAGCTCTACAGAAGCAAAGAGGAGAAATGTCCTGGAAAAGGGGGATTTCACAGAATCACAGAATTCACAGGACACAGAAAATCACAGGATTTTCACCCTAGTCCTTCACTCAGCCAGTATTTATTAGGATTAAGTGAAAGGAAAGGTGAGGCTTTTGAAGACCTGCTATGTACCCAGCTTCCAACACAGTTTGCAGGGGGGACAAATAAAGTTTGGCTGGGCCTTCCTTTTTCCCCTTCCAAAACATGGTTTTTGCACTACCAGATTAAGGCATGCTGTTTTAAACTCAGCATTTTTTGCTTCCGTTTCCAGCTTCTTGCCAGTTAAAAAATACAAAGATGGAACTAAATGCCAATAAATGATACGGCAGGTTCCTTTAGATACTGCCCAGGCTTTCAGGTGGGCCGGTGGAGCAGGGTGGCTGTTCTGGCTGCTGCATGTGGGTTGCTCCTGCTGGAGGGTGAAGGGCTTGGGCAGCGCCGTGAAGAAACCTCGTGCAGGAACCATCATTCCTGCAGGTGCTCCAGTGCTGGCCAGCTGTGAGTCAATGCCTTTGCAGAGGAGTTGCCCCAGCTGCTTTTTCTTTTGTTTTTCTTTGGCTTTTGTACAAATATGAAGTACTTTGCACGGTTAAGACCATTATCTATTAGGAAGTTGGGATTTCATTTATTTGTTTGTTTGTTTGTTTTTTAAGGACTTGGGCTAATCATTAATTTATTCACACAAAAAGAGACATTTTCAGTGTGATGAGATGCTACGGTGATAAGAAGAAATACATCCAGGCTGTTTGCCCAGTCCTATAGCTTTATCCTATAGTTGTTTCCCGAGAGATGTGGTGTAAAAGCCTTCAATCCCTGCACAGTTGCCACAATTTTCATCTGATTGAACCATTATGGACAACTAACAAAGGAATATATTTGAATAAGGCTCCAATTAAATACTCCTGTTTTGACATACTACTTTAATAACCACTTTAATAACCACGGCCAAGCCTTTCTTGTTTCTGGGTCAACGTGAGAGCAGAGCCGCGGTGCAGAAGAGCTCAGCCGGCTGCTCCAGGCGCAGCGCTCCGTGGGTTGCTCTGCACTTGGCTCTTCCAGAGAGGAGCCACAATTATTTCTTGCATAAATATTTACGTAGCTGCATGTGCTGAGAAACAAAAGCTAAATAAGAAAATCAGGTAGGTTTACCTTCTGGGATATTGCATGGTGAGAGGTTCGTTTATGTGGGTGTCATAGCAATAGTAAAACAGTAAAGAATTCCTTCCGTTAGAACGGCTTGTAATGTTAATCCTAAAGTTCAGGCTGCCTGCTGGCACTTCATTTCCTTCCCGGAAGGAGATCTCTGGATGCTTCCTGGGAATCACACTGTAATACTGCTTTTGGGTGCCCCTGTGGAAGGTCTCGGTCTAGCTGTTGTCCGTCTGCTTGTGCATCCCTGAATCCCTAGTTTTTGTGCCCTGGAATGGAGTCCTTGTGAGCGCCGTTGCATTCACTCACTAGCATTAACAAGCAATGAATACAGATAGCCAGATGCAAAAGTATGTTGTGACTCTGTGTTTATTTCTAATTATTCCTTTTTAATTACAGAGCAAAGAGATTGCATTTCAGCTTCATGAGGACTTAATGAAAGTTCTTAACGAGCTCTACACGGTAAGTACAATTACTTAGCTTCTCTTATACAAATTCCACGTCAAACCTGTCCTGTAAACTTTAAGTATCCTTTTATCTAGCAAGCTACCACCAGTGGGGATGCTAATTTTTGTCTTTTTATGCAAGGCCAAGCTATTTTTTTGGAAAGACTACCCACTTGGTCAAAACATAAATGCTCATCGTTTCAGGATTGTTGTTACCTTTCCATGGGTTTTCCCTCAGCGTGTGCTGAGCTGATTTATTAAAAGTTTCCTTTCCACAGCAAAGCTCATCCCTTTTGTGCCTTGTTTTACCTGTGTTGCCATCTGCTTGGCTTGGCTAGTGAACTATATGCAGTCAAAATCATAGGTGCTTGCAAGTGTCAGACTGTTAGATGTGTGTGCTCCCCTCTCACTGACGGAAAAAGTGAATAATGAGAAAAACAAAACAACAACAAGCAAATAAAGCAGAGGGTTGGGAGGGCCTCCGAGTGCAGAGAGACCAGGCAAAAATAACGGGAGCCTTTTGGGCTGCTGCTGGAAACTGGAAGCGAGCAGTTCTGGTAGCAGAGTAGGTCACAGCTTTTCTCTTCCTCGTGTAACTTGACACAATGAAACAGGGATGAATCTTAACTACTTAGAATCCATTTTATTTATTTATTTGTTTGTTTGTTTATTTATTTATAGGAGAGACTCAAACAGTGTATTCTGAGAAGGTACAAAGCAGGATTTTTTTTAATGTAGCTATAGAATGAGGAGGGACTGGTGACATTCACCCCCTATGAAAGTCTGTTGATTAAATGGGTGGTTACATTGCTGATTATATTGTCTTTCCCATCTTGAGGATTCCTGACATTTCCACTTTCCAACAATCTGCCCAACAGATCTCTCGACTTCTCTTTTGGGGGAACAACAAAAATTATGTATATGTTTATATGAAAAAAAAGAAAAAAAGCTCTGTGATTTTTGAAGAAGAAATTCTAGGCATTTATCAGAGACTAGCTCTCCTTAGCCTGGTCAAATATTTTCCTTGCATGTCTTGTCCATTTTTTATTTTGGTCTAGGGAAAACAGGCACCATCAGTAGAGGTGCTGGAGAGCATTTGGACTTGAGAACCATTTAGGTGAAACAGCTTTCAGAGATGTCAAGCAGTTTAGACCTGTCTGCCTGCCCTTATGTAGCCATGGATGTGGATTCCCAAAACATTCCTAAGAATTTTTGCAGAGCTCAGAGCTTTGGGGCACTTTTTTCCTACCTAGCTCTGCTGTCACGGAGTGTGGCCCTGCAAATCCTTGTTGTCTGAGGTTGTCGGCCAGTGACATCCCAGGGATATCAGCTGGGATCAGCGTCTGCCAAGCAGGGACAGCAGCAGACAGCCGTGGGTCTGAGCCTGCAGGAGCCCTTGCACACATGGGTGTCAGTGGGGAGCAAGCCCTGGAGATGCAGCCTTGTCCCAGTTAAGTGGTTACATAACTCCCGTGCCTGGCGAGGCACAGGATTAGTTTCCGTGCTCCCAGGATAGGGAAATGTTAAAGCATGTGTTGGAATACTTTGCTGCATCCCCTGTGAAGCTTTGCAGGCCTGGGCTTTAGTATTTTCACCTTTTTTTTTTTTTCTGTACGCTGGTGTTATCTCTTCCACTGGTGGCTCTGGAAGCTTACTGGGATGTTAACTTCCATGTGGGGCTTCCAGTGAACTCCCTTCTCAGCACTGAAGCTTTGAGGGTTTTTGTAAAATGAGAAGATTATTGGAAATTATGAAGTACAGAAAGTACAAGTTGAGGTTAGTTACTGATGTGGAAGATCTCCCAACATGATAAGCTAAAAGTGGAATTCATTTCACCTAACTTTAGGCATCTGCAGTGCTTAGAACAGCTTGTGATCTGGATTCCCGTTATAATCCCTGGAGATCTAATGTGTGGAGATCAGAAGTCTTCACCTGACCAGACATAAGCTCCAGATGAAACTACCTGCACCATAAACTCTGCTCTCTGGCTCTTCACTGACTGCCAGGCACTTGGTCAGCTGTGAATGGCCACGTTTAGCTAGGTGAGGGCCCCACTTCAAATAAAGGACACGATGGTGCAAATTCGCATCTCTTCCACTGATTGCATCTTGAGAATGATCATCAGCATCTCTGTGTAATATAAATGCATATAATATCTACACAGAAAGATATCTGGACACATGGGTAACTCCGTGCCTAGGCTTCTAGTTATGTGTAATACTTAATGCTTACAGAGTAAGACCACAATTGCTAAAACTAGTATTTACATTCTGAACTCAAGTAGATATGGTTCTCAAATTTTAATCACTTACCAAAAAAAAAAGAGGAGAAATAATCTTTCTGTTTGCCCCATGACTTATAGAAAAAAAGAAAAGCCACAGTAAAATTAATTTCGATTTTACTATTGTAAGTCGTGTCTAAAAGAAAGTTACTTTCTTTTTGAAAAGAGTTTGAAATGAATGAATGACACACTTGTTTGGAGAAGCCTCTCCCTATTGCTCCATTCTGTGTTTTTAAAGCAGTGGTGCTGTCATGTAGCACCACTTGTGCTTACCATGTGTCTTAAAATGTGAAACCTCACTGGAGTTTAGATACCTTTGAAGCCTCTAAGTAAAAAGAAAAGTTTATAATGAACTGAGTGTATGAATGACGAAGAGTTTAATAATCTGTTTACTCCTTATGGCTGCATTGCTTTATCTTACAAGAAAGATCAGTAAAATTAAGATGAATTGAGGTAAAATTGAATTCTTATAGAATTCAAACAAACAGTTGTGCTTTCGACTAGATTGAAGAGAATGAAAGAATCGTTCATTAATGAATGAATCATTACCGGCAAGAAGCAAAAATAATGAGAACCTACCTTGTGGAGTCAATGTAAAGAAACTGCAGGGTTTTGTTTGCTAGATCGGGTGTCCTTGTCTTCTGTGTCATCTAAGGTGCCAAAAACAAATGATTTTGAAATTAATCACTGAAAATTAGTTTTGCATTTCTGCTTCAGAAAATCCCTTTTAGCCTGCTTATAGGGAGGTATGTTCATTAGTTCTGAAGGTTTTTAAATCAAATTGTTCAGGTCAGTAGACAGTGCTATATATTTTGCAAAGAAGAAGCTGTTCCAGGAGAAGAAAAACAAGAGAAAACGTTGAAGAGACTTTCCACCTTCCACTGGAAATGCATTGCAAAGGTTTGCAATTAAAAGACCTCTTTCTGCTCAAGGGTATTCTTAAGCTTATGAAAGTCTGAGCCTCTGTCTGCTGTGAGAGAGCAAATACAAAGTGATTTAGCTGCTTGTTCAGTGTGGGAAAGCTCAGAACTGCAGTGAAATAACAACAACAAAAAAAAGACAAACTCTCTGGACTACTAAATTCCTACAGTTCTTTAAAAATGTGGTCTACCTGTGATAATTCCTACCTTTTCCTGTTTCATTACTTGAAATTTTTATGAAAGCGGGAGATTTGTACCACAGGTTTTCATTTATTCCCTAGGAAATACCTTGGCTTGTGTTGGTTTTGGCTTGTGCCATCCTAATTAAAATTATGCGTCATAAACAGAATTGCTGTAAAAACAAAAATAGAAGCAGATGAATCAAGGCTCCCAAAGATTTTCGAAGAACCCTTGAGTGAAAAAGGCTCATTTTGCTGGAATGATCCGTTCAGAATTTTATAAGGGAAACCTGCATTTTTCATTTTCTCTCCTTTTTCCATAGAGGAGGGTTTTTCGCACATTGTGTTAAATATTCTTCTCTTTTCTACATGTTAGTTGGGTGATTAGCGAAATTCATACTCAAAATTTTAAGACTTGATTTATTTAAGATTTTATTTTCAGTTCTCAGTATTTTAGGCACCAGTACTTACCTTATGATTCTAAAACTAATTAAATAGCTAAGCTTCAATCTGTATCTTTGCAAGTTCAGCAAATTACAAGTGGCAAGTACTTTTAATTATGCATGGCTTCTCCATGGCCATGGCAGCCAATCCCTATTTTCAAGTTTGCAGCCTCCCAGCTGCTGCATTCATCTCTTGCTCCTCTCCCCATTACTCTTCCAGTCAATGTGGACTGGTAATTAGTCCCATGTTTTCCAGAAGGATCTCAACTGTTGGAGCTAGAGCTCGGCACACGTTTGAGTGAGCAGAGATGGGGGAAGAGAAGCCTGAATATTTGTGAGGAGAGGTTATTTCCTGGCAATTCAAAAAAAAATGCATGTATACACACACACATATACATACATACATACATACATACATACATGCATATATACATATATACACAAACACTAATCAATCCAAAAATGGCTGGAGGGTTGGTTGGATATTTTTTTGTGAGTTGAGAGATTTAAGACACCCATTGCCTTTTAGATATGATAGATATCAAAATGGAGCATTTGGAAGTGTTGCTGATTCAGAAGACTCAGATAGATGAGTATTAAAAAAAATAAAAAGGACTTTTTTAGACAGAAAAATCGGAATATTTTAAGACAAAACATTTTTTTTTTCTGCAAGGAATTCAAGATGACTTTCCCAGATTAGCTTCACTAACTCTGCAGATTTTGGCCAAAATTTTTCACCGGTTGTTTTCCCAACTCTATTTAAGATAAAAAGATTGGGACTGGGGGAGGATGCCTGAATAGACTGTCCTCCTAAGAAACCCTTACTGGAATGTGGCAGTCAACTTCACCTGTCAACTTCACCAAAACTGGTGAGTGCTTGTAAAGGGAGATCTCAGAGGAATTTCCTCAGGTATCCTATAGCTACTCCTCCTGTTTTGTTTGGTTTTCTCCTTTGAGGGAGAGCTGAGTTGCCCCTTCCTCCTTCAGAAGGACTCAAGAAAACAGGGAGTGATGAAAGGATTAGAGTGGGGGAGACAAGAAATGAAAAGTGCCAAGCAGGGAAGGTGAGTGTGTAAAGGTTAAAGACACGATGGTTTTTAACCATCACAGTGGGGTTGATGTGGTGAGCACTGAGCAGAGCCACCCCATGAGTAGCCACCACTTCACAGTGGCTTGTAATGACAGGCTGTTGG